GAACGCAGCTGCATTTTTAAGTTTCTGTTTCAATCTGTACTTGTCTAGAGGAGATGTACTTCATCTGTCTGTAGTTTGTCCCGTGAGCGTGAACTAACATACTGCTGCAGTTTGGTCTGATGTAGTTCTTTTGTAATGTGTGTTGCACTGAATAGCGCACTTTCTGTTGCGTGCTGTAGAGCAGTGTCTTGTTTTCAATGGTGAGTAGTGTGTTGCATGTCGTAGTGAGCTGTGAAGTGTGTTGTGCTGAATAGTGAGCAGGATGCAAACAACAGCCGCGGCCCTTCACTCCCCCTTTAAGAGTTTGTCACCATTACCACGGCAACAATGCGGCCCCAGAGCATGGTTAAGACGCCCGGACGAAACCGGAGATAAGGAGGAAGGATGAAGAGGAACTATAGGCTTTGAGAGCTGCTCTTATCTGGGGAGAGAGACAGAGGAGTAATACAGAGGGAGAGTGACGGACGAAAGAGTGAGAGGGAAAGATAGTGCGAAGTCTCTGCGCTTATGGGTGGTGTAAATGTCACCGGTGGACTTCTTTCAGCGCCTCACACAGATCTACTCTTGAGAGAGATGGGAGTGTGTGTGTGGCAGTGTCAACACCAGTAACCGTTGGTGGATGGATCTGCCTTGCTGTATCCCTATTTGTCCTAAATAGTATGCAAGATTAAAATTGTAAGTGCTCTGATTTATTTATTTTTTAAATGCTTTTTAGACATTTGTGACAGTCTTTCAATTTTATTTTTTTTACTTGTAGAAAATTGGCAGATGTTTTTTCTATGTATGAACCTAGAAGCTATTTATGAATTTTAAGTGAATGCATTTAGGTGCTAATATGTACATGCAAATGCAAACATAATTTATAGTAACAGTACCAAGGGGTCTGTAATATCATGATGCAATTGTATCGACAATGTTTTTGAAAGTCTCACAGAGGCTGCATTTATTTGATTAAAAATAAAGTAAAATCAGAAATATTGTGAAATATTATTACTATTTAAAATAACTGTTTTCTGTTTGAATATATTTTAAAATGTAATTTATTCCTGTGATGAAAAGCAGAGTTTTCAGGATCATTACTCCAGTCTTCAGTGTCACATGACTTTTCAGAAATCATCCTAATATGCTGATTTGCTGCTCAAGAAATATTTATCATCAATATTAAAAACAGTTGTGCTGCTTCATATTTTTGTGAAAACTGTGATGCAGTTCATTAAAAATGTCTTTACTGTCACTTTTGAGAAATTTTAAGCATCCTTACTCAAAGTATTAATTTCTTTAGAGAAAAAAACACTTTTCAGCAGTATTGTACTAGCAAAGTACATAACTATGTATAAGTAGTATGTGATTTGGTATGCAGCATTAATTTTGTCTGAAATCCAATTCTTTATTTTTGTGAAAAATGTTTTCACGATTCTTTGATGAATAGAAAGTTCAAAAGAACAGCATTTATTTGAAATAGAAATCGTATGTGACATTATGAATGTCTATACTGTCACTTTTGATCAATTTAATGAATCCTTGCTGAATAAAATAATGAGATAAAAAGATGTAAATGTAAAAAGATTATTTATGTATTTAAAAAGAGCTCCACTTGCTGCACTGTAGTTGAAACTACTACAAGTAGCTTCCCAAACCCTGATATTTACTGCATACTGCAAAAACAGCATGAATAATATGCCACTCTGAATAATATGCAGTGGTTTTATCTAATTCCAAACATCTCTTCTCTCTCTGACCCCCCACACTGTCTGTACCCCTTCATCTTCTTGTTGAGAGCAGGCAAATACAGGGCAGGATAAAGCCCAGGCCTCTGGCAAAGACCCAACAGAGAGAGAGCGGAATTTGCAAGAGCCTGGAAAACAACAAAAGAAGAGAGATGATCAAAAAAAACCTACATAGCAATTCCAACCGTACTTTATGTAGTCCTGAATACTGATTCAGCCTCTTCTGAGGAGCTGCTCTTTTATTCGTCCGTTTCAGAATGCGCCGTGGTGTTTACAGTGTGGCGGCAATAGAAGACGAGCTAAGAGCGACCTGAACCCCAGGAAGTCGGGGGTTAAAATAAGGTTAAGAGAATTAGACGCTTTGTTCAGTTACATATTAATGGATTCATTGTCACCGGCTTGGCAGCACATCCACAATTAAACACTTCTATTGATGGCCCCGAGGCCGAGTGTTAAGTAAATCTCCGCTAGCCGTCTTTTCTTTGAGCTGGCCGGCTTTACGCTCAATAACCGGTGAAAGGGAAGACATGCTTGCTCGTACGATTATTCTGAATATGTCGTGATTTGAATGCTTGAGGAAGCGGCTCATGGCGGGCTTTTGAGAGCGAGCGTCGTCAGGAAAGAGCCAAGCGAAAGACAGGTTTTAACAGGAAACGATAGACAATTGGGGACAATTTCCAAATGCACGTCTTTAGAAGGAGAATGAAATGCTAGTTTGTTCTGTGTGTTATCTTGAAAGGGCTTCCTGAAGAACTTATTTTGCTTGGCACTGATGTGTCTCCAGTTAAGGAATGCTAGCAATAAACCAGAGGTCGAATCTTATTCTTGATTCTTGGAAGAAATCGCTTGGCTATCCACCTGTATGTTTTGGTTTTATTGGTTGTTAATCATTTAGCAGGCTTTTTTTTTATCCAAAGCCAATTACAATGACTTACTGTTGTTTGGGAAGCCGAAATATAATATGGTGACATATTATATTATATCATATTATATCCAATAGGTCATGCGTCTAGGCTAGATTTGCATGGTCAGTCCCAAAAGTTCAGTGTTACTTTAGGGTTATTTATGTACAATTACAGTATTTATTAATATTTGGAATTAGCTTTTATTTTTAGATTTTCAATTTTCATTTTATTTTTAATATTTTAGTCATTTTGGCGCATGCTTTTATTTTTATTAATTTCTATTTCTAAATATTTCTATTTAGCTTTATTTTAATTTGAGCAATTTTAGTACTTCAACTTAAACTCATTTTTAAACTTATTTTATTTTTATAAATATAATTATTAAATATACATTTTTTTTTAGAAATTATTACATTTTGTAATAATTTATTTTAGTTTTAGTAATTTTGTTATGTGCTTTTGTCAGTTTTATTAGTTTTTTTAATATTTCTATTTAGCTTTAATTTATTTTTATTTCAATTTTAGTTTTAGTAACTTTAGTACTTTTTATTTTATTTTTCAGTAAAGTTTACATTTCTGTTGTTATTATTAATATTTTATTCCCAAGTAGGCTTGGCCCAGGAACTAAAAAGTTACTCGTTCAACTTTTAAGTAAAGTTGTAATTTCGAGTTACGTGCACATGTTACATGACTTCCTGTTACATTATACATTCCTGTAAAGCTACTTTCAAACAATGTGTATTGTGAAAGCGCTATACAAATAAATATGGCTTGACATTCAATTTAAGTGCTGTATTTTAATAATAATGTATATGACAGAACTAAAGCAAAGCGAATGACTCACTGTTTGTGGTTTGCTTTATGCAAACTAATTGTTTTGGATACTTCTGTATTTTGTTTCCAACAAGTGCTAAACAAAGACAGAGATTAGATTTTACAGAGGATAAGTTTCTACATCATTTTGGTCCTGGAACGTGTTAATCGTTTATATACTAATAGCATTTATTAATATTTTGAATTAGCTTTTATTTTTACATTTTTACATTTTGAATTTTCATTTTAATTTTTGTTTAAATTAAAAAAAAATGGCTTTATTTTTTTAACTTGATTTTAGTTTCAATTTTAGTAATTTTGTTTATTGCTTTTGTCATTTTATTAGTTTTTTAGCTTTATTTTGATCTTAAATTAAAGTTCACATTTTAGTCATTTTGTTTTGTGCTTTTGTCTTTTTTCGTTTTTTTAGCTTTATCTTATGTTTAGTATAAATTAATTTTGTTTTGTGCTTTTGTCATTTTCTTCAGTTTTAAAAAATAAGTATATTTAGTTTGAATTCATTTTTTATTTCAGTTTTCGTTTTAGTTAATTTTAGTACTTAAACTTATTTAATTTCAGTTAGTTGCCAAGGCAACATTTCTGATTTTTGTTTATGTTTTTCTAAGTTGAGGTTTTTCATCTAATATATTTATTTTGTTGTATTTCAGCTTTATTTCAATTAATGAAAACAATTTTTATAGTTTTAGTTAAAAATAGCAACACTGGACAGGAACCATTTCTTGTTTCAGAATCATCAAAAGAAAAAAAATTTCCATCAAGACACTTAAGCTAAGGTAAAATGGCATCAAATTTATTTAAATATATTTACAAAGACATTCCAAAATGTGCTGTTTCTAGAAACTCTATTTAAACTTCTTTGACACAAATCACAAGATCATTGAAATGTAGACCATTCCTCTGAATTTCTATTGTCACATACACATAAATACATTGGTTTCCAGGGGGAATATTTTACTGTCACACCACAGGACTTTTCTTTAGTGTATTGGAGATCCGTCGTCCAAACAATTACACCTGAAACACCCAGAACCTGCTTTCAAGAGTTCAAGAAAGTGCATTAACCGATCTTATCTAACCAATTCTGTCTTTCTTTGTCCACAGTGAGATGCTACTTGGGGTTTACAGAGGTTTCTTTGTGTTTGCAATATCTAAACATTACATTTCCTGTGCATGGATAATGCCCTGTGCTCTGTGTGCATTGTTTAGAAGCCGTAAAAGAGTGAATGGAGTCCTCTCAGGTGCACAATGACATTCTGTTGTGAGGATGCTGCTAAGCTTTTTGTAACGTGGGACTCCATCCTCCGTCCGACCTGGACGAGAGATTGTGTGACCAAAATAATAGTGTCTGGAGACTCGGCGAATGTGTGGGCATAAAGGTCCAAAGAAAACATTCTTTGCATTCTGGATGGGTTTTACTGGGGGCTCTGAGCGTCCATGTGGTTTGAATTTAGTTTGTCGAGCCCTCGTAGCCTCTGTCTGTTACCGCACAGAGCGCTCACGGTCTGTTTGTGTGTGTTTTCTTAACATCCCGCAGGTAGAGGAGGGCGGGAAGGCGTCTCTGTTGCAGCACCCCCTGCAGGTGGGAGACGAGGTGGTCATCATTAATGAGGTGGAGTTGAGCGGATGGAGGCAGGAGGCCATATCTCTCATTAAAGGATCGTACAAAACGCTGCGGCTCACGGTGCGAAGGTAAGACCAAGAGCTGCTCACTTCAGTCCCATAGTGCTCTGGGGCTGTTAATTGTTTACATGCACTACTGTCCATAAGTTTGGGTTCTGTAAGATTGTTGAAAGAAGTCTCTTCTGCTCACCAAGCCTGAATTTGTTTTTTTTTATCAAAGATATAGTAAAAACTATAAAATTGTGAAATTATATTACAGTTTAAAATAGCTGTTTTCTGTTTGAATATACTTTAGAGCTCTGACCTCTATCCATTTCTCATTTAGAAAGCTTACCAAGGCTGCATTTATTTGATCAAAAATACAATAAAAACAGTAATATTGTGAAATAGTTTTACTATTTAAAATATCTGTTTTCTGTTTGAATATATTTTAAAATGTAATTTATTTCTGTGATGCAATGCTGATTTTTCAGCATCATTACTCCAGTCTTCAGTGTCACATGATCCTTCAGAAATCATTCTCATATGCTGATTTGCTGCTAAAGAAACATTTCTGATTATTATCAATGTTGAAAGTTGTGCTGCTTAATATTTTTGTAGAAACTGTGATACATTTTTCCAGGATAATTTGATGAATAGAACATTCCAATTTGAGTTGAATTACTGAAATAAATGAACTTTTCCACGACATTCTAATTTATTGAGATGCACCTGTATTTGAAATATCAATCTTTTGTAACATTATAAATGTCTTTAAATGTCACTTTTGACCAATGTAATTAATCTTTGATGAATAGTTAAAAAAATAAAAAATAAATAAATAAATAAAAAAAATTTGACCCCGAACTCCATGTCCATTTAGGTTGTTTATAATAGTTTATTGACAGGATAGCAGAGCTGTAGATCCTGAAATAGCTTTTTTGATCATTTCCAAATGCTCTTTGTAAATGCGAGTCTTTCCTCTTTCTCCTCACTCACACTTGTTGACCAGTGGTTTATTAAACGCATATAATGATGTTTGGACATAACATTTAGAAGAACATCAGCTGAATTCTGTATTAATGTGACAAGTCGCTGCTAACCATACTGTTTACATTAACTAGATATTTACATTTTCTGATAGCACGTACCAGTGCAAAATCCTGTGCAACAATGCTAGGATGAAGTAGGTGATTGCAATAGTTGTTTTATTGCACATTCCTGTACATTTTGTAGGGGTTTATGGTGTTGCTAAGTGGCTAATAAGTTGTTTTGCAACTATTGAACTTTTATTACATTTCTATCAAAAATCCATAGTCTTGTACACTACCGTTTAAAAGTTTGAAGTCAGCAAGATTTTTCAAAGAATTCTGAAAAAAATGTATCTCGGTTTCCACAAAAATATTAATCAGCCCTACTGTTTTCAACGTTAATAATAAGAAGAAATATTTCTTGAGCAGCAAATCAGTATATTAGAATGATTTCTGAAGGATCATGTGACACTGAAGACTGGAGTAATGATGCTGAAAATTCAGCTTTGCATCACAGGAATAAATTACATTTCATAATATATTCAAATAGAAAACATATATTTTTAAATTGTAATAATATTCCAGAATATCACTGATTTTACTGCATTTTTGATGAAATACATGCAGTCTTGGTGAGCAGAAGAGAAAAACATTTTTGATATATATATATATATATATATATATATATATATATATACACACTAATTTGTTTTTGTGTTGGCGCTTAGTCATGGTGATATGATTTAGGATAAGAAATGCAAAAATTTTTGCATGTTTGAGGTAATTCTGGTTAATTCTCACTTTATCTCAGGGTCATATGATGCGATTTCAAGTTTTCCTTTCTCTTTGGAGTGTTACAAGGACCCTGTTCCCCTTTCGAGCTCTGTCTTTACATTTATTTTGAAAGATGAAGCTCGCGATTATGGTAAGGGGCGTTACATTTCCGACGAGTGCTTGCGGTGTTCGGCCAATCACAATGCACTGGGTCAGCTGGCCAATCAGAGCAGACTGCGCTTGCCGGAAGGTGGGACTTTGTAGAAAACGAAGCGTTTGAGAGAGGCGGAGCATAGAGGACCTACAATAATGTACAGTATTTGAAAAATAATGTGTTTTTTGAACATTAAAGCATGTCAACATATTCTGTTACACCAAATACACAAAATAATGATCTTTAAAAAAGCATCATATGACCCCTTTAATTTGTATGTGATCATGCGTGAGCGTGCCGGTCCTACAGTCTTGTCTAAACACAGGAGATGCACAAACTAACCTGGCACTGCCATTATCAACATGACTGCAGCAGAGTGGACGTGTTTAACACCACTACAAATAGAAAACACTTTCCTTCTGATAAAGACACACATACGGGTCTAATGCTGTCTTACTGTTTGCTGCCATTGTTGACCCGGTAAAAGCGCGAGTTTTGTTTTGAGAGCACATGTGAGCGATGCTGGACACACGATACGGGCTTGAGTTACAGGTGAAACTGGCAGGTGTGGAGCGTTGCCACGGTGACAGGTGGACGTGTATGGCGAGACCTCTAGGGGGCGGGGCTGAGCACACACACACTCAGATATAGGTTACAGAGCACTGGCATCACTGATGACACAAAGACGCCGGTGTTCTCACAGGAGTGAGCAATGCCGTGTGGTTTACAGCATCGCATGTGTTGTGGTTTTAGTGCTGGAACACAATGATCTGTATTAGTTAAGAGCAGCGGTTCTAAAGAACTATTCAGCTTTCCGGGGCTAAAAGTGATACTTCACTTGTTTGTGTTTTGAAAAAAGTATGTATATAAGGGTTAACATATTACATTTAGATATTTATTTTATGGTTTTTATGATTTTCATTTTTGGGTGAACTATCGCTTTAAGTTTGTTTAATGAACATATGTAATTTAACTTAAAAAAAAAAAAAAAATGTTTGCGCACTGTCCTGTCAGGTTTCTATAGACTGCTGTGTAGGAGAGAAATCTAAAAAAATAAAAAAATGATAAAAGTGTTTAAAACTTAAGTTAACATATTGATTTGTATTTATTAAGACAAGCATCACTACTACTGTTAAGCAAACATCTGAACAAACTCTATTCTTTATTTCACAGCAGAGCACTTCTTATTTTCTTCAGAAAATTTACTTTCTTGTTTTAAAATGTTTGATTAATCCTAATTAATTGTTTGATTAGTTGCAAAGACATTTAAATTAGTTAATTTGCAGTTGCAATTATTGTATTTTAAGAATTAATATTTATTTATTCATTTATTTACATGCTGTTATTTCTCAAAATAAAATAATTGCAACTGCATAGTAGAGAAACAAGCATCACTACTACTGTTAAGCAAACATCTGAACAAACTCTATTCTTTATTTCACAGCAGAGCACTTCTTATTTTCTTCAGAAAATTTACTTTCTTGTTTTAAAATGTTTGATTAATCCTAATTAATTGTTTGATTAGTTGCAAAGACATTTAAATTAGTTAATTTGCAGTTGCAATTATTGTATTTTAAGAATTAATATTTATTTATTCATTTATTTACATGCTGTTATTTCTCAAAATAAAATAATTGCAACTGCATAGTAGAGAAATCTAGAAAAACTAAAAATATGCCATTGTAATTATTTCAATAATTAACGGCATGTAAATATAATATTTAATATAATATAATAAATATTATATTTACATTATATATTTATTCATTCATTTGTTTATTTACATGCTGTTATTTCCTAAAATACAATAATTGCAAATGCATTGTAGAGAAATCTAGAAAAATATGAAAAATATGCAGTTGCAATTATAAAAAAAATAAACAGCTTATAAATAAATTTGTATTTTATTTATTTGTAATAAAATATTATTTATTATATTTATACATAAATATTTATGTATGTATGTTTTTTTTTGTTGTTTTTTTTAAAAAGCAAATAAATAAATAGGCTACGTTTTCAAAATTATTCTCCTAGTTTTGAGAGCGAGTTTGAGTCTTTGGCATGGGGTGACAATGACATCAGACACTGTAATTTACACAGTGAGGTGCGCACACACACAAACACACTCAAACACACACAAGGCCCCTCTCAGCCTGGATAATGCTTTTATAATGGGAGGCATTGTGTCACACCTGGTTGTGTGAGGACAGTGCTGGTGTCACGTTCACCCAAGACTGACTCCAGATCAGAGGTGAAAGAACACAGAGAAATGCGAAAAGAGAGGGATTGCCATTCCCAGGTACAGAGAGGGAAAGAAGGAAACAAGATGTTGGGAGGAGATATTGAGAGCAAATGCTAAATGAAGCTACAATCTGATTGGTTGCCTTTACAGTGTTTTTTAGTGTGGCGGGAAACATCATTGTTTCCAGGGTCATTCCAGGCTTCACCCCCAAAAAACAAAAAATCCCTCATTATTTACTCACCCTGCTGATGTTCCAAACCCGTTTGACTTTATTTCTTCTATGCAGCGCAATAGAAGATATTTTGAAGAATGTTTTGTCCATGCAATGAAAGCCAATGGTGTCAATTATTGTTTGGTTTCCAATGTTCTTCAAAATATCTTCATTTGTGTTTAGCAAAAGAAAGTAAGTCATACAGGTTTGGAAGGTTTCATAAGCTGCATTCAAGGCTGCATTTATTTGATAAAAAATACAGTAAAAACAGTAATATTGTGAAATATTATTACAGTTTCAAAGAACTGTTTTCTATTTGAATATATTTTGAATTGTAATGTATTCTTGTGATGCAAAGCTGAATTTTCAGCATCATTACTCCAGTCTTCAGTGTCACATGATCTTCAGAAATCATCCTGATATTCTGATTTGCTGCTCAAGACACATTTCTGATTATTATCAACAGTTGTGCTGCTTCATATTTTTGTGGAAACCATGATAAAAAAATTTTTTCAGGATAATTTGGTGAATAGAAAGTTTAAAAAACAGCATTTATTTGAAATAGAACTCTTTTGTAGCATTATAAATGTCTTTACTGTCACTTTCAATCAATTTAATGCATCCTTGCTGTGTAAAGAACTACTAATATCTTTTTTTTTTTAAACTTGGGAAAGATAG